AAACTGAAAATATAAAAACAGCAAGGTAGCGAGTGGTAAAAGTGAGCGTAAACGGTATTGCAATGATAGGAAACAAGGCCTAGGGTTCATACTTTCACTAGTGCAAATTCTCTCAACAATAATAACATAGATAGATCATATAACGAGCCCTCAACATGCAACAAAGAGTCACTCCGAAGCCACTAATAGCGGAGAACAAACGTAGAGATTATGGTAGGGTACGAAACCACCTCAAAGTTATTCTTTCAAATCAATCCGTTGGGCTATTCCTATAAGTGTCACAAACAACCCTGGAGTTTTTACTAGAATAACACCTTAAGATACAAATCAACCAAAACCCTAATGTCACCTAGATACTCCATTGTCACCTCAAGTATCCGTGGGCATGATTATATGATATGCATCACACAATCTCAGATTTATCCAACCAACATAAAAGTACTTCAAATAATGCCCCAAAGTTTCTACCGGAGAATCAAGAACGTGTGCCAACCCCTATGCATAGGTTCATGGGCGAAACCCGCAAGTTGGTCACCAAAACATACATCAAGTGGCACGTGATATCCCATTGTCACCACAGATAAGCACGGCAAGACATACATCAAGTGTTCATAAAAGACTCAATCCGATAAGATAACTTCAAAGGGGAAACTCAATTCATCACAAGAGAGTAGAGGGGGAGAAGAAACATAAGATCCAACTACAATAGCAAAGCTCGGGATACATCAAGATCGTGCCATAGAGGAACACGAGAGAAACACAAGAGAGAGAGAGATCAAACACATAGCTACTGGTACATACCCTCAGCCCCGAGGGAAAACTACTCCCTCCTCATCATGGAGAGCGCCGGGATGATGAAGATGGCCACCGGTGATGGATCCCCCCTCCGGTAGGGTACCGGAAAGGGGTCCCGATTGGTTTTTGGTGGTTCTGGAGGCTTGCGGTGGCGGAACTCCCGATTTTTCTTATGTTCTGGAAGTTTTAGGGTACGTAGGTATATATGGATGGAGGGAGAACGTCGGTGGAGCTACAAGGGCCCCACGAGGCAGGGGGCGCGCCCAGGGGGGAGGGCGCGCCCCCCACCCTCGTGAGCACCTCCCGTATCTTCTGACGTGGGGTCCAAGTCCATTAGGTGGGTTTCCTTCCAAAAATAACTTCTCCAGTTGATTTCGTTCCGTTTTGACTCCGTCTGATATTCCTTTTCCTCGAAACACTGAAATAGGCATAAAACAGCAAATCTGGGTTGGGCCTCCGATTAATAGGTTAGTCCCAAAAGTAATATAAAAGTGGATAATAAAGCCCAATATTGCCTAAAATAGTAGATAAAGTAGCATGGAGCAATCAAAAATTATAGATACGTTGGAGACGTATCAGAGTCCACGGAGGGCTCCACCCACGAAGGGTCCACGAAGAAGCAACCTTGTATATCCCACCATGGCCATCGCCCACGAAGGACTTGCCTCACTAGCGGTAGATCTTCACGAAGTAGGAGATCTCCTTGCCCTTACAAACTCCTTGGTTCAACTCCACAATCTTGTTGGAGGCTCCCAAGTGACATCTAGCCAATCTATGAGACACCACTCTCCAAGAAGTAACAAATGGTGTGTTGATGATGAACTCCTTGCTCTTGTGCTTCAAATGATAGTCTGCCCAACACTCAACTCTCTCTCATAGGATATGGATTTTGTGGAAAGAGGATTTGAGTGGAAAGCAACTTGGGGAAGGCTAGAGATCAAGATTCATATGGTAAGAATGGAATATCTTGGCCTCAACACAAGTGTAGGTGGTTCTCTCTCAGAAAAAGGTAAGTTGGAAGTGTAGGTTTGTTCTGATGGCTCTCTCCACGAATGAAGAGGTGGTGAAGGGGTATATATAGCCTCCACACAAAATCTAACCGTTACACACAACTTGCCAATCTCGGTGGGACCGAATAGTTAAACTCGGTCGGACCGATTCAGCAAAGCTAGTGACCGTTAGGGTTTTCGGTGGGACCGACATGCAACTCGGAGGACCGATATGGTTAGGGTTAGGGCATAACGTAATCTGGGTGAGACTGATTACACAAACTCGGTGAGACCGATTTTGGTAATAAGCTAACCAGAGAGTTGGTCACGTAAACTCAGTGGGACCGATCGCTCATTTCGGTGAGACCGAAACGTTACGAAGGGGAAATAGAGAGTTTACATTGCAATCTCGGTGGGACCGAGATCCCTATCGGTGAGACCGATTTGCCTAGGGTTTGTGGCAGTGGCTATGACATTTGAACTCGGTGGCACCGGATAGAAAGAGTCGGTGGGGCCGAGTTTGACTTTTGGTTTAGGTTATATGTGGATGTGAGAAAGTAGTTGAGGGCTTTGGAGCATATCACTAAGCATTTTGAGCAAGAGCCTCATTAAGCAACACCTCATCCCTCCTTGATAGTATTGGCTTTTCCTATAGACTCAATGTGATCTTGAATCACTAAAATAGAAAATGTAGAGTCTTGAGCCAATCCTTTTGTCCTTATCATTTTGAGGGGTCCACTTTTCTCATCCATGCCATGCCAAACATTGAGCTTTCTTGAGATATTAATCTTGAAATGGCATTAGCTCAATGAACTATATGTTGTTAGGAATTACCAAAACCACCTAGGGATAGTTGCACTTTCAACATAACCATCTTTGATCAACGAGCTAGTCAAGTAGAGGCATACTAGTGACACTCTGTTTGTCTATGTATTCACACATGTATTATGTTTCCGGTTAATACAATTCTAGCATGAATAATAAACATTTATCATGATATAAGGAAATAAATAATAACTTTATTATTGCCTCTAGGGCATATTTCCTTCACACCCAAGCTCTCGCACGGCGATCTCCGGCCTTCTCCGGCATGGCGGGCAGCGGATCTGACTCCGACCAATCTGGATCCGTCGACTGGGTGGTCATCCCATGCGGGTTGGAGGAGGCAATGGTCATCCGCATTGCACTCTGCCACTCCCGGGAGGACAGCACCCAACCGACAACACGATCTGTCTGGTGCGACTCCATAGCGTTGGCGCATCAGGCCCTCAAATCCTCCGGGGCTGGATCACCGGGGTCCCGAGAGCCTTCAAATCTTTCCTTCCCTATCCCCGTTCCGACGGAGTATGAGTCCCACTGGGACCGGTGTGCCCGCCGTGGGAAGGAGAGAATAAGGGCGGCGGAAGCCCGCCTCGCTGCCGACATGGCGGCGGAGGAGGTGGATGATGATGTGGCGCGAGCGGCTGCATAGGAAGAAGCCATTCGCGCCACATTGTAAAGAAGCGACAGCAGAGGAACATGTGTGCCCTCGCTCGAGAGCAGAATCGGGCGGTCCGTGCAATGGTCGGGCTGTCACCCAAGGAGGACAACGACGGGTCAGACAGCTCCGGCGACGAGTAGATCTGACTCGATCCGTACTGCGTCTTCGATCGGTACTTTTGCGAGAAGGACGGCAAGGGCGCCGGGAAGGGGATGGGCAGCCGTGGATGATCTTCTCCATCATAGCCGAACATACCAAATTTTGGTAGTCTATGGCATATTAGTGATGTAGTAGCCAAACAATGTGTGTAATGCATCGTTTACGTAGTTGCATGAGTTTGTATGGATTTGAGATAGGTTAAAATTTTAGCCTTGACCGGTCGGTGGCGGACGAGCCCGCGGGCGTTTGAGGTGTCGGATTAGTCAAGTCCGGTTGTAGATGCTCTTAGAGCATCTCCAACAGCCGCGCCAAAAGATGCGCGCGCGGGGTAAAATGCCCATTTAGCGCGCGCGGAAAGTTTTCGCGTGCTCCAGCGGAGGTGGGAAACAAGCGCGCGCGGTAAACGTTTGCGCGCGCGGGGGAGAAAGTTGTCGGTCGCGCGGTAGATTTGGCGCACCACTTCTGGCGCCCCTATAAATTGCGGCACTCGCCACGCGGTGCTCCACACTGCCACGCGCGCATTTCCCCCGCCACCTCGCCGCTTCCACTGCTTTCTCGCTGCTTCCTCTGCTTCCTCGCCGCTTCAGCGCCCTGCCACCACCGCGCCAACATGCCGTCGCGCTGCCGGTCATCTTCGGGCTACCGCGGCGTCCGCGGGCGCCCCTCCGGCGCGTACTACGCTGAGATCCGGTCCGGCGACGTCCGCCTCAGCCTCGGCACGTTCGAGATCCCGCACGAGGCCGCCTGCGCGTACGACGCGGTGGCGTGGCACCTAGAGAGGCATCGCTTGTAGGTGAACTTCCACGACGTCTACACGCATGAGCAGGCGCAGGCCGTCGCCCCTCCTCCTCGTCTTATCACGGACCTGGACCGTGCGGAGCACCGTCGGCGGCAGCGCCGGCTCCTCATCGCCGAGGAGGACAAGCGAGCCATGGCGGAGTGGCACCGGCGCCACCCAGAGGACGTCGCCAACGAGCGCGCCTTCTGGGCGGAGAGGACGGCAAGGCGCCGCGCGGAGCGGGCGGACCGACGTCGGCGGAAGGCACTGGCCATATCGCGGTGCGATCTCGTTGATGCCGTTGGAAAGTCGTTCTTCTCGTCAGACGATGAGCGTTGGGATAACATCTGGCTCTCTACCTCAGACAACACCAGCGAAGGTGATGATGAGGACGACTCGGAGTAGTTCTAGTTGCACCGTAGTTGTAGTTTAATTATGTACTTGTACCGTAGTTCTTTTTATCTGTCTATGCCATGAACTATGTAAAATATCTTTGTATCGTTTTTTATCTATGCTATGACTATGACAAAATATCTATGCACGCGTGCTGTTGGAGCTACGCGTGCGCTGCATTTTATCGCGGCTGCTGGAGTCAGCGCTACTCGCCACGCCAAACCAGATGATCGGCGCGCTGCAAACTGGTTTTTAGCGCGCCGCGCGTTGGGCGGCTGTTGGAGATGCTCTTAGATGTGCAATAACAATTTAATTCGTTCACCCTCAAAAAGAAAAAGAAAATGAATTCGTTGATAGAGGAAAAAAAAAGGCTGAGGGTAATGTGCACTTCTGTCGGGAGAAAACCATGAAACGGACAAGGGTGGGAGGAAATCTCCTGCCGGACGGAAGAGGGTGTGAAAGTGTGATGGCCTCACCGTACAATCCCCACCGGCGGCAGCTGGGCGGGGGGCAGTCCGCCTGGCCGGATCTCCCGCCGGAGCTCCTGGAGAGCGTCCTAGGGCGGCTCGCCCCGCTCGACCGTGTCGCCGTCCGCCTCGTCTGCTCCTCCTGGCGCTCGTGCGCGCGAGCTTCGATCTCGGCTGACCTCCCCTTCGAGGCCCCGCGCCTCCTGCTCCGGCGCCCCGGCTCCTGCGGCGGCCTCGCCTTCTTCAGCCTCCACCGCCGCGAGATCCTGCCTTTCGCCCTCCCCGACCGCCTCAGCTCCGGCCGGTGCTGCGGCCAGATCGGCGGCTGGCTCGCCATGGCCTTCGACGAGGAGCGGGCGATCGAGCTCCGCAACCTCTTCTCCGGCCAATCCGTGCCCCTGCCGCGGTCCCCCGTGTTCCCGGTGGCCAAGATCGTGCTGTCCGCGCCGCCCACCTCGCTTGGCTGGGTGGCCGCCGTGCTGGGCCGCGCCGGCACGGTGGCGCTGCTCCAGCCGGACGTGTCTGGCGGCGCCTGGATCACGATCGCCGCCGGGGGGCCGCACGGCGGGTTCCGGGACGTGGCGTTGTGGCGGGGGCGGCTGTGCGCGCTGGGCGACGACGGCACGGTCCTGGCGTACCGTGTCGACCTCCGCGCGCGCGTGGCGGCCGTGTCGGAGCTGCGCGGGAAGGACGCCAACCCTCTGAACCGGCTGGAGCGGCGGGTGCGGTACCTGCTGGAGTCGGACGGGGAGCTCCTGCTGGTGAAGAAGCTGTACAGCGTGGTGCGGGACTCGGCGGACGTGGAGGTGGAGGTGAGCCGGTTCCGGCCGGAGGGGTGCAAGTGGGAGTCGGTGACGGAGCTCCCCGGGAGGGCGGTGTTCCTGGGGTCGGTGGCGTCGGCGGCGGCGCCGGCGACGGCGGGGGTCCGGGAGAACTGCGTCTACTTCGCGCGGCGGGACGTGGAGCTGATGGTGCCGCACGCCATCGGCGTGTACTCGCTGGGGGACCGGGAGACGGCGGTGGTGGCCATCGCGGGCGGGCACTCCGTGGAGGTGGAGCCCGTGTGGATCCTCCCCTCGGTCGCCTGATCTGACCGACTCCACGCACCCACCGGCGTTCAAGAACAAATAAACCGAGCCCATGAGTTTTAGAACGCTTTATTCGGATGTTTTGGAACTGTGGATTGCTGTGCGTGTTGTTTTCTCTGCTTTGTTCATGGGGTTAATTGGCGATTTGGGTTTCTACTAGAGAGGCAAAGACCGATCTGTCTGAATTGCTGTGCATGTTCTTCTCTTTGCCTTGTTCAGTTCATCAGAAGTTCAGAAAGTGCCGGTATCTGCAGTTCATGAGATTTTACCTGTTTTTTTTCCGAGAAAACTTTCGATCAATTCATCAATTATCAACATAGTACAAAGAACACTAGAAGTAAAATTTACATTCAGGTCCATAGACCACGGAGCGACGACTACAATCACTGTAGCGAGCTGAAGGCATGCCGTTGTTATCGCCCCTCCCTCGCCAAAGCCAGGTAAACATTGTTGTACTTCCTCCTTTCCGGTTTATAAGGTTCAATTCAAAAATCTCACCAATCAAGGTAGATGGTGAGTGGTGGAATACTTTTTGTAGTTTGCAAAAGCACCCAATTAATGCTCTTGTTTTTCTCAAAAAAGTATGTTTACCAATGCATTAATTGTAATGCATGCATACATAAATTACATGCATTGGTCAATTTTCTCTTAATACTTGCATGCAATGATTTAATGCACCTTGGAATCTGAACATGTGATGGAAAACAATCAAATTGAGCCTTATAAAATAGAAAAACTAAAATTTTGATATAAGCCCTATAAACCGGAAAGGATGGAATGACAGTCAGATTTTTTAGGGCAGATGCATCGTGGTCCGGCTTATGCAGTACGCAGACAAAACAGAATCAAACATCATTTTTTTGGCATGGCAATCGAACTTTTAAGATGGCAAATTATGTTGTGGCTAGGATGGCAATTTCCTTTAGCAAGTATGACTAATCCTCGCCATGTTCGGTTTTTTTTTGCTAGAAGTTGTCATGCTTACGACAACATAATTTGTCATAAAAAACGTTTGATTTGCCATGCTTATAAATCTGACGTGAGATTTTCAGCATTTCCCAGAAAGAAAGGCGACGATAGCCGGCTCCGGCGATGGCCATTGTCAGATGAAAGCCTCCACTGGCGCGAAGTGCCCCCTTTGCGCACGGTCCACGCGCGCGTCTTACCAGCGGGAAAGCGATAAGCAGTGTCCGCATCCGCCGCGTACCGATGCAGACTGCCGCTTCCGCTTCCGCTTCCACTTCCACGGGCTGAACTGAAGAAGGCAGCACGCCATCTGGAGTTCCCTTCTCGCGCGGCTCTCTTGTCCCAAATCCGCGGTGACCACGTTCGCCTTTCGGCCGAAAGTTCGCACTGATGGCACCATCAATCCCGTTCAAAAAAAAAAAATGGCACCATCAATCCAAATGCCAGGAAATGTAGTAGCCCGGCACATGATTTCCTCGCGACCACATGCAACCAAATCCGTTTTGGCTCCTGGTAATAAGGTTGGTGTGCAACGCTAGGACACGGCCAGAACAGGCATCACTAACTACAATATAAAATGCCAGGCCACAACACAGATATGACAGAAGTTAGACAATACCAGCACGAAACAAAAGCAAACAACAACAAAACTTTTCAGTCACATACAGCCCAAGTAACACACCACCACCAACAACAAAATCTTCCAGTCCCAAACAAGTTGGGGAAAAATAGTTTAACAATAAAAACGGGCATATCACCATAGCAGATTCCAAGGACAACCAGATGAATTATCTAGTTGCCTTAGAATTTTTTTCTTGACATTTAATTCCCTCCAACATCATATATCAGCAGTTGAAGAAGTCGGGAAGTTTGATATAGTCAATTACGTGGTCCAAAGCACGAGATGCCCTTTACAACAGTAGACCAACATATATAATTTTTGACTAATTTTACAGCCTTATGTCTCTTGCTCATGTGAAGGCCAGGTTCTCAACAGAACAATCCAAAAGGGCTCCATAGGGGGGACAGAGTATATTCAAGCCTGTATACGTTCCGCCGGTACAACGGGGAAAATTTCAACATTTCAGATGTTACTACATTGCTCACCCCAGGGGCTAATCTATGGCAATTATGAGGAACCCCACCGAGATGTACATGAGGAATACGGGATATATGGCCAGAGCCTTTCTCCTTGGGTTCACAGCAGCGCTCATGAATGGGTAGGCAGCCCAGGAGCTCCACGCCAGTGTGACTGTCACCACGATGATCTTTAGTATGACATTGTCCTTCAGCAAGCAAATTAGGGCTCCAACATCCAGAGGAAACAAACAATAGCCAAGGAGACTGAGACTTTGGAAGAAGATGATGTGCCCACCCTGCAGGGAGACAGCAACAACTCGTTACAAAATTCCACAGCAGGTATAGTTTGGATCAAACAAGTGTTCTTTGTGTGTGAGAGGCATTGCTTACCAGAAGCAGAACATTTAGTGTTAAGATTATAGCCCCAGCTGCCAGCACAGCAAACGCGACAGCAAATACTTCAGACTACAAACACAAACGTCATAGAAATCAGCATTTTGCACGGAAGGAAACAAAGAAGAACTTGTAAACTACAAAGAGAGAGGACAGCTATAAGCAACACATACAAGTATATTGGCCACTGGAAGAAAATAACATAACAATGCTAATATGCCAACATAGAGAAATCAAAATCAGAAAAGGTTCAAAAGTGAATATTCCATATATCTGTAGCCATAATGTTCAATGTAACAGAGAAATATACGAGGAAATAACTGAAACGCCATGCTTTCTTCATATCATGTAATCACCATACCCACAACATTAGATGACATGCCTTGCATATTTACATTTGAACATGGTAAAAACAGCAGAGAAATATAATTGTGTTTTGGCATACTTTCTCCTCAGTCAGGAAAACCACCTAACCTGCTACTCCCAAATGCAATTACATTTCTTTCAAGCAAAAGCAGCATAGCACTCTTCTGCAAGAGAAAATATTGACAAAACATTTGGTTTCTTCTAGGTGTCAATGCGACAAAAATTTACTGCAAGTTCAAAAGTACATTATGTACTTGGCTATACAGAATTAGAGGGGTCTTTCAGATTATTAGCAATTGAGATCATATTTTGCACAAGGGCAGTTTTAGTAATTTGTTTTGTCACTAAACAGCACTCCATAATACAGACACTCTCCAGGTTCCAGAAGCAATCCAGTAAGGCTACGCCACATTGTTGCACAGTAAGAACCAATCTTAGAAGTGACCCTACACATTCGGATTCGCATTGACATTCACAGGTTCTAAGAGAACGTGATTTTTTTAGGCGCAGAATCCAGTACAGCTATACCATATTCTGTAATAAAATAACTAGTATTGCCACCTAGTTTGTCGAAATATCACCTACAAACCTTGCAGCTCAGGACAAGTCCATAACTAGTCCACTAGATAATTTTAGAACATAAAAAATGGACCAAAGGTTGTGAGATTAAATATGAAATTATGTTGGCTCATCATTCACCACTAGTACACATGGACATCAAGTTTCAGCATTGTGATGCCCCCAAACCAATTTAGAACCAAGAACATAGTGCATTCCCTAATATCGAGCACAAGAGATACCTGAATAGCTAATACTCCCTCCGTCTCAAAATAAGTAAAGTTAGTACAACGTTGAGTCACCTATTTTGGGACGGACGGAGCATAAAGTTGAGTCACCTATTTTGGGACGGAGGGAGTATAAGATAGAAACCTCAACACTTATAGCAGAGTTCACCTTTGATGATGATTGTAATTATCGAAGTGTGAAAATGAGCTAAAATGGGCACATGAAAACCCACAGCAGAATAAGCACATGTTTCATACCTCGTCTAGATTTAGTCATAGAAATAACAGAATGGAATTAATTGGATACAGCACTATGATTGATGGTTCTAATCCCATCCCCGCAGACCTAGTATACAGTCGTACAACACCAGATTCAGTTATCCCCTAGGCAACATCGAGCTTGCAAGGGAATAATAACTGTGACGCTTGCCTCCAAGTACTAACCATGAATGGCAACATACAATTCAATAATGTATAATCTGATCTACCTATAGTGAATTAGAGATATCACGAAGTCGAAGACTAACTAAGCAAGAGCTAAATCTCACAAATCGATGCAAAAGCTACCACGAGATCTGGCTGTGGAAGGGGTAGCAGGTACCTTCTTAACAGAGGCGGACCAGGACAGCGTGAGGCCGAGGAAGACGATGAAGAAGAAGGGGCCCCAGAGGTCCCAGTCCCTGAGCGCCTTGCCGGGGTCCTCGCGGTTGGGGTTGGGGAAGACGACGAGCTTGAGGTTGCTGACGATGCGTGCGAGGTCGCGCTTGACGGTGTCCCAGACGGGCTCGGTGAGCGTGTTGGGCGGGGGCCCGAAGCCTTCCGAGCCGATGGCAACGGAGACGGACGCGGGCGGGGCGGGGGTCGGCCCCTGGGGCACGAAGATGGGGACGGAGGAGGCGGGGAGGGGCGGCTTGGAGGACGGCGGGG